CCTTTAGAATCGAATCAAACCATATCGTGTCCACTCCTAAAAAAATTGTTAATATGATATTTGTTGTAATTTATATACATATTATAAATTCAATTTAATTTATAAACATAAATAAATGAATGGTGGAAAGTATTTGTGGATTACTTGGAATACTTGGATAAAATGTGATTCGAGCGTTTATAAATACGAGGCAAACATAGAAATTCGTCAGGGAGGTGATGTAGTCGAGCCTTGCAGTGGGGTGCTATAACCCACTAAGAGTTGCAGTATATTTTATAATGTTACAATAGTAGGTATAGCAAACAAAATCATATGAAAAGAAAATTGAATATGAAATGTCCAATTCATCAGATGGATGTCAAGTGGTTAATAATAATATTCCTCTAAGACTGGAACATCTTATTTCCTATGGTGAATCCATCCCATTCGATCAAATATTAACGAGTGATCATAATGAGGGCAGATTCGATAAGGGATGCAAAAATAATACTTCAAGATCCATTCAATTCTTCTATACAAAAAGTAACAATACGGTTTTTATAATGGTGAAAAGTGATGTCTTCTAACTTATCATTCACAAGTTTTATTGGGTACGAAGATCTTCGTCAATTTATCTGAGTTTCATCTCTTTCCATATCTTCAAACACAATTCATAAGGATTTGCATGTGAACCATTGGGAAGGTTTCGCATGATGTTCATATATTTTCAGAAACCTACTTGCCCTCATTTTGTTCACCTAAACAAGTTGATTAAAATTCAAGAGCTTGTTTGATCATTTTTTTTAAATACAGTTTTCCCCCCCTTCTTTTTAATCACACATTCTTCGATAAAACAACACCACACGCAATTTAGAAGCTTTACATTCATTTTTAACCGCACATTCTCAATCAATCTTATTTCAAAATGCATTATATATACAAAAAAATGAGGCTCAAACATGTCCTAAGTCAAAGTTGATAATTATTTTTATTTACATATTTTATGGAACATACAATTATTCAACCACATATTTAAACATATTTTTATCAAAATTTACTGAGAATTTGATTTTCATTTATACTAAACAAGGGCTTAATTTTAAACTACAAAACAAATAAAGAGAAATTACTAAAAAAAATAAAAATAAGGTTTTGAAATTAGCTAAAATGTTAAACCACTATTTGGTTCAACTAAAAAGTTGAGTTAAAGTCAACAATTAATTTTAACTACGCATTTTGTGGAACGTATAACTTTTCAATTACACATTCCGTTAATTTTTTATGAAAATTTATTAAAAATATGATTTTGATCGAAACTAAACAGACGCTAAATTTCTTATCAATTAAAATGAGAATAAATAAATGAATTGGAATTTTAAGTAGAAGATAAAAAGGGAAAAAATTGAATTGTGAAAATGAAAGGCAGTTGAAGTGAAAATATCATCTGTAACGAGTTTAAAGGAATTACGAGTCAACTCGGTTACTTAGACATAACAGCTTCCATTTTCTTTTGTTTTTGGACTAATAAAATAGGTTGTGCTTCTTGTACATCAAAGTGTATATCAGGGTGTCCATTATGGACACCGGCATCTCCTCATTGGAGGGAGTGTTGGCTCCCTGCCAGGTGAGAAACATGGGGGCGGGTCGGTAATTTTTGGCCATTTTTTAATGAGGTGGGTCCTGTGCTCATGTGAGTCACCTGGCAGGGCCCTGTGAAGCAGGGCTCCGTACTTGTAGCTTAATTCAATAAAATAGGTCCGCACATAGCCGTGTACAATGAATTGGCGGGAACGACTTTAAGATTTTCATAGTCCAAAATTATGTTATTTGCTTACATTCAAAAGAAAAATTATGTCATTTGCGTAATTACTAATCACTACTTGCCTAATCCATTTATAGTCCATTTGTTTAATTTTATTTTAGTTCTTGAAAGTATATGAAACCTCTAATCATTTTTATAGAAATTTCTTGATTTTGATTCATAAATCACCATTCTTCTTCTTTTTGCCTTTTTCTTTTTTTATATCGAAAATTTAATAGTTAAAATTAATGGTATTCGGCTAATGTTTATAACTTATCAAATCGCTTTTAATCTACATATTTCGTGGGACTATAATACTGCCAACTTATTTATATCTACTAGTGTACGCACGTGCGATGCACGTGTTACAGTTTAGTTTGGTATTTAATAGCGTGGAATGATTTTAAAGTATTTTTT